CCCCCCCCCCCCCCCCGGCACAAGGATACACGGCTGTAGTTGTAGAAGTTGAGGGGTTAAAATAAAATTAATTAAGTGAACAGTAAATATGATGCCTAATCAAACAGACATCCCATTTAATTTTGGAGTACATCATGTACTTTAGATTCTATTTCATAGGATGGATCATAGTTTGGATTTTGTTTCCCATCCACCATAGACGAGGAAAGACTATCCCTCCAACAACAGCAACGCGTACTGAAATCCGAGACGGAAGGTATGAAGGGAAACATCGACCAGAAGCTGGGAATATCTGCCCTGCCCAAGGGATCGGAGCTTGTGAAGTTAGCCGAAGACTTCCTGGGCCGCAACCACGTCGCCAACGAGCATCTCCCTCCGCACATCCTGGCCCAGCTCACCACTGCCGAGATCGATGATTTCAGGACTGTGTTTGAGTTGTTTGACACGAAGAATAAGGGGTAGGTTGATATAATATTACGGGAGAATGGAGAGGAGGAGGGGGGGGGCGAAGTATGTATTCAATTGAGTTTTTAAAGTCTGTAACGAATAATAAGAGTATGGGAAGAGGAAGAAGAGAGGGGAAGGGGAAGAGGAGTTTACTTGAGCGAAGTTTTCAATGGTGTTTGAAAAGTTTAACATGAAGAACAAGTGGTTCTTTGATGTTTTGAGGGATGAGAAGGAGGAGGATGAAGTGGTGACGAAGGAGGAGGGGGAGGAGGTTTTCAGAATGGAGTTCGGAATGTTTGATACGGAGAACAAAGGGTATGGTGAAATTCTGCGAACAGAAGAGGAGGAGGAGGAGGCGGAGGAGGAGGAGAAGGAAAAGTAGGAGGAAAGAAAGAAGAGAAAAGGTTTTAAGAATGGTGTGGGGGAATATTTGAAATGAAGAACAAGAGCTAGGGTGATACTTTATTATCAGGTGGAAAAGAAGAGGGACGAGAATTAGCAGGAGGAGGAAGAGGTTTTCAGAGAGATAATGGGAATTTTTGACATGCAGACCAAAGGGAAGGGTGCCACTTGACCGGTGGGAGGAAGAGGAGGAAGGGGAGAAGTAGGTAGAGGAGAAAGGAGAGGACCGGAGGAGGAAAGAAAGAAAAAAAGAATGAATAAATAGTCACATGTACTCCTCAGATACATAACAGCTGACGACCTACAAAGGGTGGCGGGGATGTTGGGCTACACATCCAAAAAGAAAGTCTTCAAAGAAATGATCCGTAAGTCAGCATTTAGAACCTACATTGCACAACACATAATTATAGTACTGGCGATCAAAAGAAGGCACCTTTTTTGACTGTTAAAAAAATCTAGTCTTTTGAGTTTTTACACTTTTTCTTTCACGCCGTACTCTGAAAAGTAGATCATGTTAAAAAATATTTGGATGCTCAAATCTACGGCGTCCACGTCAAATAACAGAA